AAAGCCGTTATATACTCGACGGTATCAGTACACCAACCTTCCCATCATGCGCTCCATTGATAGCGTTTGCCGCTGTATTTTCTATGGTTTGGTAAAAAAATAGGAACGTGGAATATCCTATTTGTGACTTGTATTTTCTTGATCGGTATATACACTCGGCTGTTAATGGGTTGTGTGCAAACCGAGAAAAAAAAAACAAGTGACTAGTGGGATATTCCATTGTATGCCACTCGAAAACGTTGTATAACTAGTATCAGTGCGATGTTTCTGACATATCGCAATTACTGCATACCATTTTGAAGAAAATTAAGGGAACGCTCGGAACTTTGGGATGAATATCTAATCACTACAGGGTACTGGTAAAATAGCGTTATCTAGCCTTGTAGCTATCTGTAAGAACAAAACAATTTCAACAATGCTTGTGAGTTTTTATTCATGTTTAAGCTCGAATGTGAAGGAGACATTAAATGGCTAACTACAATATAATAAAGGTTATAAACTTGTCCTTGCAAAATAAAAAGAATATTACTGTTTAGTAGAGCAAACTGAGGTAGCAAATTCTTGGAACCGATCAGTATTGCCTACTAACACTGGTAAAAATTATTTCTTTAGGTATGCGTTTCTGTATGACAGAAAGATTCAATCACCAAATATTTTAAAAAATCAAGTTAATTATAGCAAAATCGCCTTGTAAATAGTGTAAACTTCATTTATAGTATTCTTTACACCAGTTTGGATACAGAGGAATCACCTAGTAAAAATTTATACTATATGACTGGATTTATGAAAACCGTGTCAATACTTTACACCAAATTACCCATGTGCACTTTGATTTCACGACTCCTGATGGGCAAAAGCGATAAAAAAGGAACAAAATAGAGAGAGAAGAGGAAGAAGATGAAGATAAGAGAGCGGAGGAGATAAAAAAGACTGACATTCCTTTTAATTTTTATATCGTCTACTTTGGAGGTCTCTGGCGAGAAAAGAACGTTTGAGCAGGGCGCGATTTCGTTAACACCGTTTTCATAAATCCAGACATACATATATTCAGTGGAATGCCGATTTCTCAAACCTTCGACTTTTCCGAACCTCCCCACTGCTCGAACCAAAAGTCGTTACCTCCCCTCAGTCGAATACTGTAATTTTAACCCCGATTTCTCGAACTATACCTGACTGTTCAAACCAATTTCCATTTCCTTTGTAAAGGTTCGAGAAATCGAGATTTCACTGTACAACCTTCAACAACTAGTTTTTATTTGTTTCTTTTCTTTAATTGACTTAAAGTATAGTGCAACCACAACAGCACTGTTGGGGGTAGTCTGGGGCGTGCACTTTGTGGTCAAGTCCATACACCCAGAAACGCGTTGACGTCTCCTTCCATTTATATTGAACTTCAGACACTGGCACGGCGCGTAAGGTTTGACGCTGAAATAGAAAAGAAAAATAAAATGTTACTTTTTAAAGCAGCTTCAGATTGAGCGTTTCACAGTCGCGTCTGTTGTCAGCAAACAGGAAAAGGTCCAACCTCGTTCCCAGGGTCTCTCATCTTCGCGCTCTTCTAGGACGGAGGAAAAAGAGAACCTGGGAGGGAGGTTGAGAAAGGGCATCGCTTGAGACCGCCATTTTTTTCTGCGTGCGCGAGCAGAGTCACGTGACGGGTCATTTCAACCTTCAGCACGCTACTGTTTGGTCCTTTGAACTTTATTTATTACCTGCATAAGGATTCGTTTTGACGGCCAGTTACGAGAATGAGCGTCAACCAGGCGCTGTGAGCCACTGTTGACATCTGGGTCATGGAATGCTGTGATGGGGTACACCTGCGGATTAAAAGTATTAGTTCTTAGTTCTTTTCAAAAGCTGCAACGATTATTAACCCTTCCACCACTAGAGAACACTTATGAACTGGTGACGTTACTGTTGGGTGGAAATCTGTCCGGTTTTGATGAAATTTTCACAGCAAAATGGTCTTGTAAAGATCAACTCATTGAAAGCATAAAATCATGGACCCTCTGTACATCATACAGTTGACCACCTCTACAAGTTTGGGATCTTTTTTTCTATAATAATTATGCGGTCTCTAATGCATTTGTTATTCACCATAAGTT